CCTGAATAAAGGATATAGGGGAGTAGATTTTTCAGTTGACTGATATTTCCAATTACAATCAGTCTGACTTAACATTAAAATAAAAACATAGTTTATAAACAGGCTGACCTCAAGATACTTAGGTACTTAGGAGAACAGTGGATAATTAATGAATTATAATAAAAATTGAAAATTGAAAATTATTAGCCTTCTAAAACACCTGAAAGAACGATTTATATATATATATATATATATATATATAGTCAGAAGTCGGAATTCATGAAGTGGTCATTGGCTGAGGTCCCAATGGCAAAATGGTCTACAAGCTTGCTTTGTAACCGGAAGGCCCTGGGTCCGAGCCCCGGCGGCGATATACTGCTGAGGGGTATCAGACCAGAAGAGACAGAGGGTTCTCTAACTGATGTCGATTCGTGTTCAAGTCTGTAACCAAACAAATTTGCTCAAACCAACACCTTAGAAGAATTACTATTCATTCAGCTATGGTGTTTATTTGTAATTGTCAGTCTTTATGGGTTTTAAAGAACCTGTTAGTTACATTTAAAACTCTCTCTTATTACGAACATCATGTCGCTGTTAACCGTAAATTAATGATTGATACAATCAAACAGATATTGGTTATCTGTGGTTTAAATTCCCATTAGTGTATGAAGAGGAATTTACACTGTATTGTGTATAATAAAGTTATTGTATCAGTCGCCTAAGTTAAACCTGACTTCTCTGTCTAACTCAGCATTGGTAATACTGTCATGAATGGAGGCTCATTCTAGTCAAATTAGATAAATTTCAACAGTCCTGAGTATGAAAAACGCTGTATTATTGTCAATAAGGAATCTACTGACTGCTACTTTGTGGAATTTATTGTCCAAACCTATCATTTACTGAAATACCACTGTGATTACACATGGTAAGAACTCTGAAGAGTTCATAGTGTATAAGTGAACACTAGATTTCTTAATTTGGTTATAAAACAATGATAAATAAATCACGTTGTCATTCTTCATAGTAGCATGTTAAGCGGAAAATGACGAGGCAAGAAGCATAACAAATACATTAACAGAGGATTGTAAGTCGAAGATAAATTTGAGATTTAAATCTCAATAATACTTAAACTAAAAATCTGTAAGGTGTTAGACAGAAATATTCCTCCTCAACATATACACACGCACACAATATTAGATTTAATAGTTATTATGAGTTGATCACGGATTGATATCAGTTAGAGAACCATTGAAAACCAGGGAGTACTGGACAGCTGCTGTTTCATCCTAGTTTGGGAATCATCGGCAGTACGCACCCACTGGGATTCGAACATAACATAACAAACCCTTACAAACCAAACTACAGAAAATTAATAGTTAGACTATGAAGAAGGCTTGTTTGTTTGATTTTTTTCATTATCACCTTATTTTGCAGAAATGTAAGAGAAGAATTTAAACTTATTAATCATAGTGCATTTATTTGACTTAAATCACATGGATAACATTTTAAAATCTACAGTCACGCCTTTTTCACACGTATTCGGTATGGTAAAGCAAAAGTGTTGTGTAACATTTTTGTTAATACTTTTAAGACACCATCAGTCGCACTTTCAATTTAACATAGGTAATACAGCTTTTCACTACATATAAAGAATTAAGCTATTTCACTTATACGTAACAGTCAGACTAGATAGTATGAATTTGCAGAAACGTTTGTGTAAAAACAGCTCTGTATGACTGCCACACGATTCCATAAAAATGAAAGTACACCCGTCGGCTTTACTTAACAAGATTGAAGATGACTATTGTAATTCAAATGCATAAAATTCCTTAAGAACTATCAATGTAGTTGTTTCGTTCCCATTTTACAACGTTTTACGGATAAGTTCGATGATTGTATATGAATATTCCTGGAATTAACAATAAAGTCAACTTTACTGACTTTTAAAAACAAGCTGTCTCATTTGTAATCCCACTGTTGTAGTGAATATATATATATATATAATTTGCTAAAATCAAGTTAATATAAGTGTAAAACTTGGGCACTGTGGTAGTAAGTAATTCCATATTAGTCTGTTTATTAGATATATCACACAGTGATGAAACAGTATTATTTACTGGATGACACAGTTTCGAACAAAATTTATTGTTCATAATCATATCAATTGTAATCACACGACTATGAAACTTGAGTTTTATAGTTTTCTTTGTTTTCGATTATTTGTCGTAGGGGTAGTAGAATTTTCTAGATATCCAGATTGATAACAGAAGCTTTGTTTATCGAATCAACTGCAAATACATGTAATAGTAATGATTCAACACCTGTCCATCCAGATATCTGGAAAATTCTACTACCCCTACGACAAATAGGAGAAAACAAAGAAAATTATAAAACTCAAGTTTCAAAGTCGTGCGATTATCATTGATGAATGTAATTATGAGTAATAGGAAAAAAAAGAAACGCATAAATCTTTTGCAGAGCTTAGAGAACAGGGCACCTGAAACAAAGTTTCCTCCGAACCCAAATCGTTTTGTGTTTAATTTTTCGGATGTAATACTTAGTGAAGTGGATCTACAGGTTCTATCGCTTGGCCCTAAATTCTGTGATAGTCACGTAAAAATTAATAAAATGGACGCACAGATTCAGTTCGAAAGTCTATATACCCAAACGGAAGGCCTGACCCCCTCATCAACGGAAGATGTTGAAAGACTCAAATCAACACTGGTTGATTGTTACTATTATTACCTGAAGAGCAAACGCAATTCGTATAGTATCTTAACTAAGAAACACAGAGAAGCTCTGGATAACCTACGCAAAAATGAAAATATAATAATAACAAAACCGGATAAGGGTTCAGGAGTGGTTATCATGAACAAAACGGATTACTTCGAGAAGATGAATACCATTCTCAATGATAATCGAAAATTCCAAAAAATTTCCTCTTCTCTAGATCCGATTGAAAGGACTGAGAAACAGCTAACGGAAACATTGAAGCGACTGAAACAACAAGGGTTCATCTCACAGGGTCAGTATACATCTCTTAAACCCACTGGAACTTTTACACCAAGACTATATGGTTCGCCTAAAGTGCACAAAGATGGTGTACCGCTTCGACCAGTGTTAGATATGTTAAATTCGCCATACCATCCTGTAGCCAAATGGCTAGTCGAAATCTTACAGCCGCTTCATACGGAGTTAGTGAAACACAGTGTAAAGGATACTTTCGGATTTGTGGAAAGGATAAAAGATTTAAGTGTCGACAATAAATTCATGATATCATTTGACGTATCTTCCTTATTCACCAATGTACCACTTATGGAAACAGTGGACTTTGTATGTGAAGAACTTAAACGACGAAACATCAATGTCGGCATTCCTATATCATTTGTGAAAGAGCTTCTCTTGAAATGTACAATGAATGTCCACTTTTTATTTAATAAGGAACTATATAGACAAATTGACGGTGTGGCAATGGGGTCACCACTGGGACCCATTCTAGCCGACATTTTCCTTGCGAAACTAGAAAATGGGCCTCTGAAGGATGTTATTAGTGAACTCGAATTTTATTGTCGGTACATGGATGATACTTTTTTAATTATGAAAAACGAGAAGGAAGCAAAGAGCATCCTGGATAAATTTAACGAGGTACATACTGCAATAAATTTTACCATCGAGACAGAAAAGGAATCTAGTATTCCATTTTTAGACGTTTTTATGACCAGAAAAGAGGATGGCTCAATAAGAAGAAGTGTTTATAGAAAACCTACATCAACGGGCCAGTACACACATTTTCTCAGTTTTGTGCCCTTGAAATACAAACGCAATTTGATAAAGTGCCTGGTTCACAGAGCAAGAGCGATTTGCTCGGACGAATGTCTTGATGAAGAACTGAATAATATTAAACGGTTGCTAAGTGAGAATGGTTATCCTGAAAAGTTTATTGATAAGAATATGAATTTGAAACCAAAGCAGCCGAAGTTACCAACAGTTCCAAAAAAGGCCTTATTCTTTCAGATGCAGTTCCTTGGGGACAACACTAGCGAGATACTAACACAGCGTATTAGAAACGCGGTAAAACGAGCATTCCCTGCTGCTGAATTACGTTGTATCTTTAAGACTACTTCTCTTCTGCGTTCGGGAGTAAAAGACAAACTGCCTAATTTCGCCTCATCCATGTGTATCTACCAATTTAATTGCTCCTGTGGAGCCAGTTACATAGGCCGCACAATTAGGCGTGTTTCTCGTCGAATTTCCGAACATCACCCTGCGTGGTTAAGCAAAGGCCAAACAAAATCTATCCGTAGCGCTATTTTGGCTCATCTGGTGGATACAGAACATAGGATTGATGTTAATCAAGCTTTCAGAGTTATTTATCGGATACCAACAAATCTCAACTTCGCCTTAAGAGTTCGATTACTAAATATTGCTGAGGCTGTTGGGATCCACATTAAAAAGCCTAATTTGTGCGTCCAAAAGAAGTTAGTTCAGACGCTGTCCCTACCTTGGCCATCTAGGTTTGAATGATTCTCAATTTTCGTGAAAATTTCCTAATTTTAGTTGATATCCTACTCGCTATTATATCTTTATTACTATTATAATTTAAGTATTTTTAGTGAACTGTAATTGCATTGATCTTGCTTTACAAATCGATATTATTTAAAAAACACTAATATTGTTATTAACTACCAACCTTGAATATTCTGTATATATAAAAATGTATATAATTGTAGAGCCAGAAGAGGAATTTATCGAAAAGAATATTCTTTGCTCGATTATGTTGTGTTTTATAGATATCTGAATGAATATTTTTGCTATATTGAAATGATTATGAACAATAAATTTTGTTCGAAAATGTGTCATCCAGTAAATAATACTGTTTCATCACTGTGTGATATGTCTAATAAACAAACTAATATGGAATTGCTAAAATCAACTTCATTGATGAACTGAGTTATATAATTAAAATATGATACATGGTTAATTCACATAATAACTAAAATAATTAGTGATATATGACTTACTTGAACACAAATAAGAAAGATCCCATTGATTGCAAGCTTTGCCCATACAGGAAGGTAAATCAGACTTACAGGCTGGCCAAACATCAGTGGAAATGCAATAAGCATTAAAACACATCCACCGAGATGCCAAGATTTTCTTCTTCCAAGTCTTAGCTGACGTTTCATTCGACTAAGAAATCTTTTATCTTTTATTGCCTTTTCATTATCAGATGTATTCACTTGATCATTACTGCGGGAGAATTTATTTGAACTGACAGGACGATCTGATAGAAAACCGATTAATGGTGTGGCTAAACCATTAGCAATCTGACCAGCTAGTAATAATGCGCCAACCTGTGAGCTGCTTAAACTAATACACCCTTCATAAAATACAATGTAGAATATACTGATAACTCCAGCGACAAGATCTTTAAGCATTTGGCCAGTGCCATAAGCAATTTTAGTTATCCACTTCATTCTTTTTGTAAAAGTTTGATAACAGTAAAAATGGTAATAATAAATATTATTCTTGAATAATTACTGTCATTCAAAATTTAATATATATTAAGACAATAGTCTTCATAAAATAATTTCTTCCTGTTTGCAATAAAGTCTAAATTTCATACGTGTATTTGACCATTCTGTGAATATCCGTCTCATATGTATTCATATTCCAGTGATTCTAATTGTCCCGATTTATTAATCAATATGTACTGATCTTATTAACTAACCAATCAGCAAATTACAATTCAGTTAGCTACTTATTTTCCAGCAACCTATGACAATGAAATAACAGTTCATTGATGAATTTCAAATTTCATTAATCTCAGCTCTGTCGAAAAAAATTATAATAAATCATAAACAAGAATGATAGTCGAAATATGAAACAAAATTTCTATTGGTTTGCAGTAATTTGGTTGGTTTCAGGATTTTATTATGAAGTAACATCTTTTAGAGAACCATTGGAAAACCAGTCAGGAAGTATTAGACGGCTGCTTCCTTCCAGTTTGGGACTCTCCATTAGTACGCAGACACCGGGTTCGAGCCGAGGACCTTCCGGCTACAAAACGAGTTTGTAGACGATTAAGCCACTGGGACCCGACCCAATGGCGAGTCAATGAATTCGAACTTCTCCCAGTTAACGAAATGCCGCGATTACTAGCCTGTGTCATCGCGTACTTGTCCTCACATCCGACCTCCTATACCTCACCGGTCACGACTTCCCACTAGAACTTAAGCATCTATCTAACAAGCTTTGGATAAGAAAATAAACTACCAAATGTCAGTTATGGAAAGGAACAAATGAATTAAGTATATTTCTAAGACAACTTTTCTCCGTATACCTATTCTCCTTGTTGAATGGGGATAAAGCAAGAACAACAGTTTGTGTAGGGTAAGATGTTACAATCATTTAATTCGTTGGCTTCGTACCAGCTGAGTACAGCTTAAAGAAATTATTAGGTTTATGTACGGAATAATTTTACAGTACTTGCAAATGCTGCATAATATTAACTGATAGGAAACTTCATACTTAATAAGCCGTGGTTAGAAAGTACACTAATTTAGTTCACACCCAGGAAGTTTAAGTTTTTAGGAAATTAAAGGCTTGGATACAGTTGCAAAACAGTTATATGATAAAGAGAGGAATAAGTTAATTAGTAACTAATAGATTGAGTAACAATGTGGTGAGTTCGACTCAAATCATAGAAACAAGAGACAAGCAAATTCACAGTATATCAAAAGGGAGAAAGGTTAATGCCAAAGATTACATCATCAAACTAAAGAGAGAGTAAAGGGTAAGAAAAAGGTAAAAATAAACTGATAACCTTTTGTTTATGAATACAAATTGGGTCTCAGGCAGATCTTGAGGCGGACACGCTGGAATTCTTTAAAACCTGCAAGTTACAGGGTTGTCTAGCTATCCTGATAGAATCTGTAAATGTGCGTGCCCGTGTGCTTTGAAATCAGTGGTGGTGATTTATGTCATCTGTCTGCCAGTTTAAACTTATCAATTCCCTGTGTAGTAGATTCACCATCAAAGTACTGCAGGTTGTCATTACGATAAATTTTGCTGGTTGTGTTTGTTCCATCACTTTTAGGCTATGAATAGCTGAATCTTAGCTATTCTGACATTAGGTTTTCTAATAAAATAAGTACTTGCGTAGTGTATCATGAATTTTTGAGTAGAACATTTAGTTCCGATCTTGTATATTTCAGGACTTAAACTTTGATGAAGACAGTAAAAGACGGTGAAGGAAACTCAAGTACCAAAGACATGAAACAGAGGAAACGCTGAGCAAATTACTCCAAAGGACTCTTGAAAAAAACCTTTTACCTATACCTCTCACAGAAATACCAACAGCAACCAAAGAACTGTCAGTAAACACTGATCCGATAAAAGTGGGAGTCTCGAATATCATAAAGCTACAGAAAACTGGGAAGGCAGCAATAAAATGTAGGATCCAACCAGAAACATTGAAGTCAAGCCCAAAAACATCAAGTGACACGTCCACTGGAAGGACGACTTAAGCCTTTCCAAAATATCAATGGCACTTCATATTAAATATGATCCAAATTTTCGGAATAGGAATGATAGATTAAGACAGAATTTAGCTGGACTTCAATACACCCATGAAGTGATGGAATCAACACAAATGCGATAAGCAGTTTCATTATATAAACACGTGATGTTTTTATAATATACATACTTATCAATTTCAACAATCTTCATATGGCTTTGTTATCTTTACCAACTGACCAACTCGACAATAACTTAAAAATCCCCTCATTCAGAAGAAAGACAGCTAAGTTGTTGAATATAGGCTGAGATTTTGTAAATTCTGGTCTAATAATACTTTGATAAGGCTATGGACAGCACAAATTAATTATAAAGCTTCATTTTAGACCATATGCAAACATATTGTACAAACTTTCAAATATTGGTTTTGTAGGGATTTTGTTTGATTGCATGGAGGGTTTAATCATGAGCTGACATCAGTTAGAGAACCACTGGAAAACCTGGGAGTACTGGACAGCTGTTTCGTCCTAGTTTGGGACTCTTCAGCAGTACGCACACGAACATTTCCTGTGTACTAAGTTCGAAAATACTTTTTTCTTCATGCAGGATTTGTATGTAAAGTAATAATCTTAAATATATCCTTATTTCATTGAAGAATTACACAACGTTTACTTGGAAGCAAGTTAAATCAGTGCACAAGTTCATGTATAGTTAATTTGATATAACTGAACGATTAAAACAATGATAAATCTAGATGAAACTAAACATTTTTGGTGGAAAGCAAATTTCGGTAGCTCATTGAGTCAAGCAAGCCGCCGAAATGCATATCAATAAAAACAACATTGTTTTGTTTTTCATTCATTGGAGAATACAAAAACTCTGATAATAATGAGCAGTTACTAACTGTTTGCTGATTTCGAATTATATTTACAACAACCAACCAAACGAGAAGACAGGGATATCCTGAACCGATGTGAAGAACCTAGAAGACCTGGATTTCACGCGTGGATGACTTATGTTTGATGTCACACAAAATCGAAGACTTACAAGCGAAAACCGACAAACTGGTCGAAGAAGCAGCCGGAGAATACAGGACTCCGAGTGAACATAGACAAGGCGGAGGTTATGAAAATAATCAACCAACCAACAACAACAACAGTAACATCCAGCGTCAATCATCATCAATTGGGAAGGATTTGAAAGAGGTTACTTCATTCACTTACTTATCTAGGGAGCATTGTCTCAAATACAGGCAGTGGGAACGGACGAAGATGTCAAATCGAGCGAGAATCGGGAAGGCGAGAAACATATTCATCAACCTGAAACCAATCTGGAAGTCTTCGTCACTCAGCATCAACAAAAAAATCCGGTCGGATCTTCAATACGAACGTCAAGTCAGTCGGTTCTTCTATATGGATTAGAAACTTGGCTGGCGGGTCACAAAGAATATTTCCAACAGCCTGTTGCAGACCTTCATCAACCAACGACTGTCTTCGCTAGTTCTATACTGAAGATCAGATGGCCGGGCTGGAAAGAATCACCAACAAGAAACTATGGGAACAAATAAAGCAAGAACCAATCGCCCAAAAGATATGCAAGAGAAGGTGGAGATGGTTCGGACACTCGCTGAGGAGACTGCTGGGTGACACCGCGCGCGCGTCAGGCCATTGCTAGAGTGGAACTTGAAAGGGAAGTGGCGAGTGGGACGTCAGTGCAAGGGTGACTTGGAGGAGATCGTGTGAAGAGGAGTTGAAAGAGTATGGACTGACATGGATGCAGGTGAAAAGTACAGCAGAAGACAGAAGCAAGTGGAGACGTGCAGTTGAAGCCTTATGTTCCACTAGGAACCCAAGGGAACAATAACAATAACCGTACTTTTTTGTTGTTGTCAAGTGTACATCAATGTTTTTTTTGTGATAAGTAAAGTCTGATGTAATTTGATTTTCTTTTATTTGTTTTTGTTATTTACAAGTGTTTACAGTCAATAAATAACTCGTTCACAATATATACCACCTACATATTATTTCAGTAATACCTGGATAAATCTAAAAGTTAATTATTATTATTTTATTAAGGAATTAGTCTTAGTAATCACTTAGATTTTTATTCTTGATCATTTCATTTCACGATACCTAATCTTTTTCTCATTTGTACACAAAGTGAAATAAAATAACAGTTTAAAAAACTCTCAAAGTTGTCTCATTAAGAAAAAAATGTGCTTAATCTCTGTACAAAGTGGCAAAGAAAATAGAAACAATAGTAGTGAAGTTCAAAAAAAATACTCATACGTGACTAGAATATGTTTTAAAAAAAAAGAACACGCCTTCAATAATAGATGTCCTCAGGTCAAACAAAAACTGAGTTAAATTAATAATCCCCATTGAGACCTAAGAACGAAGAATTCAGCAAAGAAAATTCTTTTTGTGACAATCTCATTTTCATAGCTGTACAATCATATATATATTCAGCGAAGAGAGAGAGAGAGAGTTGGCATTGCCATGGGATCACCACTGGGTCCCTTGTTGGCTGATTATTTTATGGCAAAGCTGGAAAATTCTCAACTTAGTCAAACCATCGGTCATTTTGACATTTATAAAAGATACGTAGACAACACTTTCGTCATCTGCGAAAATAACGTAGTTCTTGGTGATGTCTTGTTTGCTTTCAACAACTGCCATCTTTCTTTACACTTCACCATAGAAAAGGAATCTGAACTAAGTATTCCGTTTCTTGATGTGTGCCTTAGCAGACGGAAGGACGGATCTCTCAAAAGATCTATCCATCGGAAACGTACATGGAACGGACAACTAATAAATTTTTACGGTTGGGTGCCTATTTCTAGGAAAACGAGCTTAATTCATTCACTCTGCTTTACTGTAAGAAAAATTTGTAGTTCTAATTGCGTTGACTCAGAACTTGACTTCTTGAAAGCCACACTCACAGAAAACGGTCACCCTAAACGATTTATTGACGGCAATATGAAAGATAAGTAGTCTAAACTGGTCACCAACTCAGTTCCAAAGAAAACCTTATTCATGAACTTGGAATTCAAAGGTGATCAAGCTTCAGATAAGCTCAAAAATCGTCTCTCTAAATCAGTCAGTAAGACGTTCCCTGCAGCTGGATTACATATGACGTTCACGAGCCGCAAATGTTTCTCTACCTCTGTAAAAGATAAGCTC